AAAAAAAAAAAACTTACTGACCCCAAACTTTTGTGTACTTTTTTGTACACAAGTTGAATATATATAAAAATACTGTATGTATCAAGGCAGCTCAATAAGGTTTGGAACAGAGCTACTACTATGTGCAATCAATAAAACTAGAGTGCATTAACATGTGAAAATAGAAATAGTCTCTGTAAGCAAAACACATTTCAAAGGAAGCAGTGAAAGGACTGAGAAGACTGAACCTGAGCTCACCTGTCTGCGTAGGGTTCGTGAGAGAGTGTGTGCCCGTCGAGGTGGGGGGATTCGTGGGATGCTCTCTGAGTCTGATAGGCTATGAGGACTGATCGGTCTGAACAGATCAGTGGGCACAGTCAAGTGCAGTGTGGGTTCTTCTGTTTGAGACTGGATAGAGCCTGTAGACCCTGTGTGAGGAGACATTTTTCTATTACATTTCATATTGCATCTGCATTTTAAACAAATTCAGAAATAAATTGCAGTGTTCTACCTGTCTGAACGAGTTGAGGTGAGGTTGTGTGGGTACTGTGGGTTGAGTTGGGCTGCAGCGGCAGGAACATGTAGCTGTCATTGGGCAGAGAATGTGTACGGCCCACTGAGGTCTTCTTCACGTACAGTAAGTGCTCATCCGTTGGCTCGTCTGGCTGCTGGGGGTCTGGGGGATCTGCTGGAGCTGTGGTCTGAGAGGCATTAAAAGAGATGCAAGTCAAGGTGAGAGCTGGTACTTGTGTTTGGAGCATCAGGGGCCCTTATGAACACATGGACGCACACGCACACACATTGTACCTAATACATAGAAGCTGGACTGGTTAGCATACAATGAAAGGCAAACATTACTGCGCACTAAACGTAGGGAGGAGACTGATCAAGAAACATGTTCTCATAAATCATGTTGCGTAAGTGCAAATGCATATTTCTTATGAATATGCACATTTTATGAATTTTTTTCATATCCATGTATTGTATACTGTATATACATTTAAATTACAGATGACTGAAAGTATGAATATTTGCTATCAATCATTTTTTTGTAATTTCTTTTTAATGAATTGTCTCATTCAGTTCACAAAACTGAATGATTCATGAATCAGATTGAATAAGACATACTCCATTTGGAAATTTTGGTCTGTTAAATGAGTCTCAAGAACCAACTTTATGATACATTTTTGGTGTTTTTGTGTCCTTTTTTGAAGTAACACTCTTCAGAATTTCTAATTTTTATGGAAAAAAAAATTGGAATGAGGTGAGATTAGTAAACAATAGTAATTACAGTACTATTAAATAACAACTGGACTTTTTTTTAATTTATGGTGAATTTTTCCTTGAAATAACACTCATGCAAGTCCACATAATCTTACACACAGATTTAATTTGTTTTGTTAATATTTCTCGATTATATTCTGATCATTATTTGTGATTAAATGTGTTTTGAGTACATTTGCTCCATTTCCACTGCATTGTTTATAATCAGTCTTTGTGGGTAACATATACATACCCATTTAGATTTATGGTGCTATTTTTAACCTGCTTTATGGACATTATGAAGTTATGCACATTTCAGTGCACATTTTTCTGCCTTTTTTCATCCACATAAATACAACAGAAAAATGAAAACAGGCTGGATCTAGATCTCACTCATCTGAGAAATGCTATGTGTAAATTATTTATGGATCTATGGGCATATTTCTGAGACAATGAATATGAATTCAGTTGCGAGGTGACAGAAACCATCAGCCTCCTCCCTTCAGAAGCTGCGCCCAGAGCCTGTACTACTGTAGCTGGCAGACAGCAGAAGCCGACCCCATACCACACTCCTATATTCTTACAAGAAGCATGGTACTAGGGAGAAACTTCACTTTTAATACACAAAAGATAAGACAGAGATAAAACAAAAACAAAGAGACACAGGTAGATATATGCAGACAGATAGATTGAGGATGCAAACAGGAACATCTAAAGTGTATGAAGAGACTAGATGGAGACATTTAGACGTATGGGAGGAAGAACGGGGACATAGCTGCAGAACCCAGACAGGAAAAGAGCAGATTGACAGGCAGTAAATACTACTCTACTGGACTGGACTGGACCATACAAACACCAGGCTGGTGCGAAATGTACAGAGAGAGGGAAAGAGAGAAAGAGAAAGAGAGGAGCGGACGGTTAGAAACCCCCAAAGCTTCCAAACGCACTCGCCTCTCAGCTCTGCATAAAGTGATTATGATGAAGATGCTCTACTTTTACAAATTCATCAGACCAAGTGTCAGAAAACAGATTACTGGCATAGTTTTGGTATAAATTAATCATACAGCCCTGGCACGGCAGGTACGTAATTAGGTTACACATGTAGAGAGGATGCACCAGTGTTAGGGAAGCTTGCAAACTAGTTTGTCAATATACAAGCTACTCCTATTATAAAGTAGCTAAACTACAGTCAGACTGCTCTCTTGAAGTACTAATAGTTTGTTAAACTACAAGCTACTGCAAGCAAGTAGCTAACTTAGGGTTAGGGTTAATTATATTATATAATTTTTATATTATATTATTTGCTGAATTCTGTATCAAATCCATAGGAATTGTTTACTTAATATAAAGTGTAACAATTTATTTACCAAAAAGTGTTGTTAGTCCTGTTACACATTTGTACTTTCATTACCAAAAAGTGTTGTTACCAATGTCCTGTTACACATTTGTATTTACACAAACCATTCAGTGGGCTGTTACATGTGTGTAATTACACAAACATTACAGCTGTAGATACTATGTACCAATGTATACTTACACTGTGGTTACATACTATGTACACACCCAGTTACTATGTAAGTACACAGGTATTAGGGCCACTTAATATAAAGTGGGACCATTTTATTTATATTTAATGTACACTACCATTCAAATCTTTGGGGTCAGTTTGATTTTTCTAAAGATGATATTACTTTTCTTCATCCAAGGATTATCAATTATAATGGTAAAGATCTGTACAGTATTTAAAATAAATGATGTTCTTTTGAATTTTCTTTTTATCAAATAATCCTGAAGGAAAGATTTTAACATCATAAGTGTTACATGAGCATCAAATCAGCATATTACAGTGATGTACATTTCTGAACAATTATGTGACACTGAAGACATTACATTTTACATTACATTTTAAAATACATTAGAATAGAACAACTATTATATAAATTATTATATAAATTGTATTTCACTGTGTTCTTTTTGTATTTGTATAATAATAATAATAATAATGCAGCCTTGGTGAGCATTAGACACTTCTTTAAAAAAAAACACTTTTGAACTATAGTATATGTAAGCAAAAAGTACACTGATATACTATTAATTTTGTCAGCTGATGCTTTCTAGAAAAACTGTTTAGCACTGGAAAACCTGCATTTATTTGAAAGCAGCTACAGTAAAATTTAGTTGTTAGGTTAGTATTGTCACTACGATTTGACACTTTTAGCTCTGTAACTCTGTAACTTTGTCAGGTACCACAAGAAACCAAGGGGACCTTCAAGGTGCCACTCTGAAGAACATTTAGCTAAAACTGTGCTGTAACTAATTTAAAACATTGAACTGAGGAAATCTATTATAGGGCCAAAAGATCTAGAGCTAAAGTATTCAGGGTCAAATACTGAAGCAGGGTGGAGAGGGCAGGTGTCTTTGGAAGCAGTGTAAGGCTGAGAGGCAGGGGTGGAAAATTAATGTTGCTCTACTGTTAAATACATTGCACTCCTGACTGGTTAGTAAGAGGGGGTTAAAATCATCTGGGACAGAGTCATCCATCAGAGCTAAGGACCAGGATTTCTCCGACGCCAGAGACAGAGCCTCCATCTCGGCTAGAGGAATCTAAAGAAGAAGAGACGAGCCAAGAGTGAGACGGGCAAACAGCACATGCATAGTTAGAAGACACGCACAAACTATCACACAGGTTAGTGCAAGTAAATTAATACAGCTAAATGTGGTGAAGTCAGTTCATTGCAGTTCAGTGGGTGGAAATCAGAGTTGTGCTCCATTCAAATTTGGACTGAGAAAGTATTTTAAATTCCAATCCCTGAAATGATGTAGCAAACAGGGTGGAGAATTGCAATTCAAATCTCAATGTAATGAAGGAGTTAAAATTAAAATAAATTCATATATCTGCAATTTTTAAATAGGAAAGAACAGTTTGTCAAGACAAACTTTTAACGCTGGCTTGACAAAGCTTTGTTTAAAAGTTTTGCAGGTTTATAGATCAGATAAATAGACACACAGACAGATAAATATTCAATTTGGGTTGAATTTCTTTTAAATTAAATACTATATTTCTTCATATTCATATTCCAATTCAACTTCCAATTCAAACTAACACCCATGAACTAAAAGAGAGCAAATTGTTTAATTCAGAATTGATGGAAACACCCTCCAGTGTCAGCTGACAGGATGCATATAACCTTCCTTCAGTAGCCATGATGGATATCCTGAAGTTTAACAGTCCTCAGATATTAAAGTTAGATCAGAAACAAAAGGTCAAACTCGGTTACGTTTAAAAAGAAATAATGTGCAGTCTCTTTCATAAATCCTCAAACGTCAGCAGGTGAAATCCTGCATGCTGCATCGTCTAATTGTCCCTGAGAGTTTGGGCTGGAACAACTTTTTGCAAAGTCGTCAAAATAAAAGCGCCAGTTATTTCCATGAAGACAGATTACAGATTCTCCAATTACATTAAAAAAAAAAAGCTTTTAGAAGCCTCCATTTTGCAATGCTAATGCAATTTAATGAAATATTTAAATGTGAAACAGACCAAAGGAGATTTCCTTGCATAATTCAACAGCGGTCCAGCTCTTTATCGATCCACACATTACCTCTTCGACTTCAGCCTGATGAGTCCATCACTTTTTCGGGTATTAATGATCTTTGGAACGAGGCACAAAGTTCACACAATTTTGCAAAACTTTGTCACTCTTATGGGATCAGGAAATAAGTAGATTTCAACAAACGGATTTTACTGGAGCAGAACCAAGTCCTTGCCTTCTAAAGAGTGCTGGAAATCCCAGAGTGCAGAGGTGGTTTTGTAACTGACACACAGAACACTGTTAGACTTTGCTGTAGTTTTACAGTTACTTACCGCAAAAAAGCCCAGTAAACTACCATATATATGTTTTACGGTTAACTACTGTAATATGCACTGAATTATGGGTATTTTAATGCCATTTACAGTAATTTACTGTATATGGGAATTTGCGGTACTTTACTGCTTGCTCAAAAGCAGTAGTGCTACTGTAAATTGGTCTGCAGATGAAAAACATTAATCTGCATTCTCAATATAATGTCTGGGTAAGCACAAGTGTGGTGAAATAAATGCATTTTTAAAATGATTAAAAAATAAAATATATAAACTTTGCTTACACCCCACAAGATTTAAATTTTATTCGCGCGCAAAGCCCGCGCAACAACCTGGCAGAGGTTATATAAACTGAGGCTTGTGTCGGGATTTGAAATAGCACGAGCGTGCTCTCTCTCTCTCTCTCTCTCTCTCTCTCTCCAAACAACAGAGAGAGAGAGAGAGAGAGAGCGCGCGCGCGCGAGATGGGTAGGCTATATGTCGCGCGCTCTCTCTCTCGAAAATAAAACATTTACGCCAGTGCATATACCAAAGAAAAAAATATATATATTCAAGTAAAATTCTAATCAATTAATTCAAGAAAGAAAATGCATTCTTTATTATGGCTTCTTGTATGTTAATAGAAGCAAGGTCTCATTAAAAAAGGCCTTTCATACTATTAAAAAAGTAAAACACTCCAAAAAAAAAAAAGGTTTAAGTTTGAAGGACCATAAAGTTACTTTTTAATGTGATTGTACGTACATTTAGGCAATTAATGGAGTTCCCTGACAAGGATGTGCAAAAAAGCAATACTGTTTAAACTAGGGATGTCAATTTTCTATCATTTCCATGATCGATCGTCGTTTAAATTAACGATCGATTAATCGTTAACCTTAATGCTGCAAAATGCGTCTATGCAGCTGCAGCCCGGCATGACAAGATGTGCAGAAGTTACTAAAAAAAAAAAAAAAAACGTTTCTCACCCGATTTAAAGGGGATTTAGTCTGAATAAAATGCTAGTAGCAGGATTGTAAAATGAATAGATGAGTGAACCGCTTCCATCAGCGCTGCTGCAGGAAAACACACGGTTGCTCACATCAAACATGATCATGTGAGTATTATGACCAGTACTTAATTTGATCCTGCTGGATCCTGTTCCGGAAAATGTCAGATTTTGAATTTTTGTGTTGCGGTAGGCGTATTTGTTTTTAAAAATCCGGCATTTATAGTGCATTAGATCGTGACAGTGCGTGTGTGCGTGTACGAGGACGGAGCGAGCGCGGGTTTGACTAGATGTATTTGGAGGTTATTACTCACGTACGTCTCATTCGGCACAAATCCAAATGTTTCCATATTCGTAATGTATTTGAATGTTAAACTATTATTTATAATGTAAACTAGGCTTGTACTTTACACGCATTCGCATATAGACGGAAACGATCATCATTTTCCTTAAAGCATCCCATTTTGTCCCAGGGCTTGAAAACCTGTGCCCTAGGCTAGTTAAATCAGGAAGGGGGCCAACACTTTTTCACACCACTGTATAAGAATATAATACTGTAAAATTAAGTTGCGGTAAGGATATTTTACTGTAAAATGAAATTGCGGTAAGGGCATTATACTGTAAAATGAACTTGCGATAAGCTACTGTAAAGGGGTAGTTACAGTAACTTATTGACAATAGTGCTGCCAGTAAGTTACCGCAAAAATACAATAAAAAGTCTAACAGTGAAGCTTCGGTGCTATTATGTACGTTTAAGTGGTCCAGAGAGAAAAGGAGGGAGAGAAGAAGGGAAGGAGACAGGCAGAGGAGTGTGGTACAAGGCAAAGCTGGGTAAACGGGGATGCCATTGACCTGTTTCTCAGTGAAGTGCTTGCTAGGAAGGGGGGGCAGAGCGTAGTAGTGGCAGATGGAGCCAGATAGGTTGTCCATGAGGCTGAGCTCTCCTTCCAATGAGCCCTGGATCACCAGGGAAACTGAGTCAAACATAGGCCTCCGCTAAAAGCCCCAGCATGTGGCAGACAGGATGAATGACGAAGAGAGAGAAAGAGAACAGACAGAGATAGAGGCAGAGGAGATGACCAGGGGTAACGTGAATGACATTACACAGAGAAAAAACAGAGGAGAAATGAAGGAAGGAGAGAAGTTTGTAGACTATAACACAAGCAACCAGAAGAGAGATTTACAAAAGGATAAACAAGCTACTCAGAATTAATTTAAAGGAACAGTTCACCCAAAAATTAAGATGTCGTCATTTAGTCACCCACGTTATTGACTGTCTTTCTTCCATGGAACACAAAAGTTGACAATCTTAACCATGGACTTCTGTTCCTCAGAATAAAGACATACAGGTTTGCAACAACATGACAGTGATTAAATGACAGAATTTGACATTTTAAGTGAACTGATCGTTTAAACCAGTTTAGCTAAGATGCATTTCTTAGTTAAATCAGTAGTACAATTCATTATGTGCTGATCAGATGTAGTATTGGGCTCTGAACTTACAAAGATACATTGCTCTCAAGAAAAACGTTTGATACTACCACTGACATCCACAAGGGGGAACTAGAGCTCTATGAACATTTGCCCTGATGATGAGCAAAACATTTAGACACGGCCACACTTCAGAAGAGAGTTGGAGGGAAAATGTCATTGTTAACTTAAAAAAATGGCCGGTATTCTGGAAATAGCCAGCCTACATTAAAAAAAGAAGAGGTCTGTATCACTACTTTCCCATGGCATCAGTCTGACCTCCGACCACTAAGTTTATGAGGAGCAAACAACAGTCACATCTCCATATGACAATAACAGAAACTGATGGACTTCCCCACTTTAAAAATAACAGTCCCATGTTTTAAAACATGCCTTTTTAGTAAACCTAAATGCATGTTAATAATGATCTGAAAGCCCTGGCAAATACTAAATCTGCATTGATTTTTGAACTAATAAACAGTTAATTGTTAGTTGGACACTGATGATAACCAATGTGGAAAAAAAAAAATACTGCATATTTTGTATATTGTGCAAAATAAAGATATTCATATCATATATCATGTTTTTAAAAGAATGTTCAGAATTACAAGTTCAAGGGTTCAGCCAAAAATGAGAATTTTGACATAATTTTCTCACCCTCGTCATGTGCGAAACACAAAAGACATTCTGCAGAATATTGGTAACAACTATTGTAAGGAACTTTTCACTGTTAACTAGTTGCTTAATTAGCATGCATATTACTAGCATATTGGCTGCTTATTATTGCCTTATTCTGCGTGACCATATTCTAGATCCCTTAACCCTACCCAATAACTAACTACTACCACAACTACCTTACTTAAGATCAATAAGCAGCAAATAAGAAATTTCGTGAGGGGAATACTCTTAGTTAATAGTGAAGTTTTTTTTCTTCACAGAAGGACAAGTCATACAGGTTTAAAAACAACATACAAGATGAGTAAATAATGACATTTTGAAATTAAATATTCATTTTTAATGTGTGAGGTGTTGTTTATCAAAGAAAATAACTTTACTATGTTTAAAGAAAAATCATGTTTACAATTATGCACTTGAACAGAAGTCAATGGGGCACTGCGTTGCACCGAAATAAATTTTGAAGCACACAATGTTGTGCGTAGGACTACAAGGCTTAAACATTATACGTAACAAATAAACAAACTAGAGTAACAAAATTGTTTACCATCTTCTTCTATGCAGAGTTCCTCTCATGACCATATAAAGCCAGTAAACCCTGCAATTTTCAGAGGATACGTGCAATAATTCCAAAAAGGGACTTTTCACATAGAGACAAATCCACAGGAATTAGATTGGTAATGCAGAACCAAAATCTCAGTAGTCCCACTGCTAAAAAACAACTTGCATATCAAATAACTCACATTTTGTTTAGACAAATTTACATATGAATGCACTGAAACAAATGCATTAACCAACTATTTTTTTTTATTTTTTTTGCTTTTATACCCTCTGGAAGGTCTTGCTCTATCGACTTCCTCTGCAAGTGCACTGCTGTAAACAAGAATTGTGTTTGTTTTAAGGACAAAATAATTTTCAGTGGTAATGGAAAGCATACAGCAGATGCTTACATCTAATTGAACCAGAAACATTCTTTTAATGTGCATCAGTGTCGTATATGAGTTCAGACATCTATGGAAGCATATGGTATGTTGTCTAGCAGTATATTGGATTTAGATAATAGAGTGCTGCAGTGATGATGTATTTTTGTAGGCCAACGCAGAAGTTAGCATCACCCTGGTTCCCTTGACAAAAACCAGAAAGAATTTTCTACTGGCTTAAGGATTATTGCAGAAAATAAGCTCTGTGACCAAAAAAGGTTTATGATTTGTACATGTTTTGTTCATCATGATAACCTTCACAAATAAACATAATTTTTATGAATTTTCAAACCTACATACAATCGCCAGAAGTGAAAAGAAAAAAAAAAGCTATAAAAGCTATAAACAAACTACACCATGGTCACACCATCACTAATCTTCTGACAACTCGTTCAGTCTTTATTTAATAATAATTAAAAAAAAAAACTGAAAGTTTATGTAAGAATAGTTTGCAAAAGTGATTATAAACAAAGCTGTGAAAACCTGAGTGATGAGTTTACTTGTTCAGTGTGATGATGTTTGTTCCATATTTAGCCACTTGTTAGCAACTGCCTTTTCCAAGTTTACAAGGGGGTATTTACTGATGTATTTTATGTCACAGAATATAACATGACAATATCTTAATCTTGTGCTAAACCACAGACCTTATTTCAGGCAAAAACCCATTTAAAAAAATGTTAACTTAGTTCCCAAGTTTTGGCCTACAAAAATACGTAATCTCCGCAGCATTCTATTCAAAAGTTTCAGCAAAATGAAAGCAAGCTGGACACCCCTGCTGAAACCTGCTTAAGATAGTGGCTGGTTTCTAGCTGGCCTGATGTGGTCATAAGCAGCTTAAACCAGTTAGCGTATAGTCTGGCTCACGTGTTGAGCCTGGAAACGACACCATTGAAGGTACACACCACTGACCTTACACCCACTCACCTCTAATGGCGGATCCAAATTATGAGGAGGATCAGGATCTGTCTTTATGTGATCTTCAGAGTCCCTGCGTATGTCTGCAGGTGGGCTGTCTGTGGGGTAAAGAGGTCCCGACATGTCTCGAGAGTCTCTTGAGATCCAAGGCGACCCCCCTGGTCCACCTACATCACTATGTCCCAGAGGTGGCATGTGTCCTCGGGATATTCCTCCATCTCCACCCACAGCCTCCAACTCCAGCTCCATCTCAGCTTCTAGCTCAGCCTCCTCCTTAGCCTCTTTGTTGCTTTCCTCCAGGTGCTTCATGAGCACAGCAATCACCACATTGACCAGCACAAACTGGGCCGTCAGTACAAAGGACACAAAGTAAATGGGGGACACCACCGTGTTGTAGCAGATGCCCGTGTCTTGGGAGCAGTCTCTGAGCGTGTCCTGCAACGTGGAAGCACAGCCACAGAGAGTAAAAATGAGAGGTGAATAGGTTGCAAAAGTGCAAAGCATTTAAAATAAAACCATGTGGATCATTGAAATTCACCATGAATTTCACTGTCCCACCTTCATAATGCCATTCCAGTTGTCCCCGGTGGATACACGGAACAACAGGAGGAAAGCCATGCCAAAATTTTTGAACGTGGCATAACGGCCAAGACCTTCACAGGGGTGCAGCTCATCACATACTGTGACAGAAACAAAATGTCATAGTCTGAGGTACATGGTCTGGGAATGTGCAAATCTGCATATTTTCAGTGCTGTGAAAAAGTGAAAATTTAATTTAATTATCCACTTAATGAAAAGTTGGTTCATTTTTAACACACACTTTCAGATATACAGTAAATATTCCAAAATTGGGATCACAGCAACACAATTTTAGGTTCCCCAAAGAACCTTTCAGTGATCAGTTCTTAAAACAACCATTGTTTTCTTAAATAAAATAAAATTGGAATACTTTTATAGAACCTTTATCGACTATAAAGAAACTTTTGTACAATGAAAAGGTTCAATGGATGTTAAAGGTTCTTCATAGAACCACAGATGCCAAAAAAAAAAAATATATATATATTTTGAAGATTGATGTGAGCATATAGATGTAGACAGATTGCAAGCACTCTGAAACTTTCTCCATTTGTGGATTATATTACGTACTACAAAATAATTGACATTTAACATATTGAAAATGGCTTTAAATCTTTTTCCAAACTCTTAAATCACAACAACCTTCATTCTGAGGAGCTTAGGCAGCTCTCTTGATCTTGGCATGATGGTACCATGCACTTCAATGTATGTACAAACTGCACTTTCCAAAATCACCATAAGCAGAAACTATTGGCAGTCCAGACCAGTTTATTAAGGTTATTCGATATAAGGTGAGACCTGATTTTAATTTTAGAAACTCGAGAAGAAATAAGTTCAAAATGTACATTCAAAGTGTCAAATTATATGAATTGAATTACCATATATTTATTGATGAAATAGCATTTTCCAATAGCATGTTGGAAAAAATAAATACTACACATTTTATGCAGTCTCACAACATATGTATATAGACCAACATTTAAATCTATCTAAAATAATCTCACTGATCGATATAGTTGGTGGACTGCTAATCGACCAGTCCTGACTTATCCTTATTTGGGAAGAAACAGAAAAAAGTTTGCCTGCAGACAGTCAATCTCAGTTCAGCCAGCAGACTCCATATATTGAACTTGGACAGCATTGTAAAGCTGGATATGAATTATGAAGTCTCTATTTTTATCTTGAGTCAGCTGATTGGAAATGGAAATGACATCAACCCTGGTATTGTGCTGAGCTGCAATGAATCACGACAGGCTGTATTCAGTAAACCGGTGCCAAATATCCTGCCACGTATTTTAGAGAAAATCTCCTGCAGATACCATATTTATGGTTTGCCCTTACAGACAAGGATGGAAAACTTTCTAAAATATGTGAAAGTGATCTCACAGCAATTTAAAACAAATAAACAGTAATAAATCAAACTATTTAAAACATAATTATGTAGCATCAGAGGATTAGAGGGTTACGACATCAGTGGAGTAATCAACGTCATAAACGGAATAAATAAATGAATGAAATTAGTTTTTAGGACCCCTTGATGAATAGAGTGATGAAGCCCATAACATACAGTATAAAACTGAGTGTTGCATTTACGTCTGGCCTATAATAGCGTGTAATGTAGTATATTAGTTTTGTTGTGATACTTATATAGAAAAAACCGGTAAAAATACTTGAAAGACTTTTATTTGGGACACTCAAAGTTATTTTGGCTTCTTAACTCTGGGTTTAGTTAAAGTTAACTTAATATTTTCAATATAGCATATTTCCACTTTTTAGTTTTTGGACTCCAAGCAGTAGTGTCACGCACTCCCTAGGGAATGCAAGTAATTTACATTTCAGTGTAAATAAAACCTAGATGGGAAGATCCTGAGGCGTGCATAGGTGTGTGTGTGTGTGTGTGTGTGTGTGTGTGTGTGTGTGTGTGAGTGTGTGTAAGAAGGAGTGTTTGCGCCTGAGTGAATTAGACCATGAGCAAAAATGGTCCTTATGTATGTGTGTTTGTTATGCTTACTCAGGTCACCAAACAGCTCTACTCCCAGAGCAGCGAAGATGAAGAAGAGCAACATGAAGAGGAGACCCAGATTCCCCACCTGTAGAAAGAGAGAGTGAGGGAGAGAAAGCCAGGAGAGTTTGTCATGGAGCACAAAGGAAACTGACAGGGCAGACCTAGAAATGCCACCTGTGAGGAGCCAATAAGAAAGAGTCATGAAGTGAGAAGATGACAGCTGTGTTCCACCTGATTAGAGCTTGCCAGGTTTGTAAACTTAAAACTCAAACTATGCCGAAGTCGTGGCTTACTGTAGCAGTAGTTAGGCATGTGCTCCAGACATGTTCATAGAGGACAAATCTGGCATCTTGTTTTTGATCCAATTTGATTTCAATCAATAAGTGTCAGGAGCCCAAAAATAAAATCGTCATATACTAATTAGAAAACCTGAAATCTATTCAGCCCTGGGTCAGTATGCAGGACATTTTCATGCCACGATCATATGTCATAATATATTGGATAAATTATAATAATTAATTTCCTTACATTTCTTTTTATAAGTCTGGCTATTTTCCCACCCTAATCTCTCTTAAGTGCACTCTTCACTGGCTGGATTCACAGTGATTCAAGACACGGGCATCAAGCTGACACAATCTGGCAGGATATCTCAGAACACTGTTACGGATCACCTCTCACAAATTGCGGAAGAGTAGATCAATAGCCCAGAACCACAAAAAGCAACTTTAATACAAAAGAACAAACTGTGTAAAAGTCACAGTGCCAGAGTGAAAGGGCGTTAGGAGGTGATGCTGAGATCAGGTGACGGCTAAACATGATCTAATCCAATTAGTGACAATTAGTTAAAGTAGAATTACATGTCTGATTATCTAAGTGCATATATGAGGAGTGCTAAAGGAGAGACTGGAATTAATAGTGTGTCCTGTGGTGCGGCATGTTTCCAAATCAAAAACCCTGCAGGCGGCGGTGGAGCCTGATGCTATCAAAGAATGCGCACGCTGGAGATTTTCTTCTCTGGCTTCTGTCATTTCTGCTATTCTCCAAGCAGCCCATCAGAGCCAATCTGCACTGCTGTGGCCTCTTCATGGCAGATTGACTATGTAAATGAGGCCTGTGGAGAGCAGAGGGGCCCCAGAAGAATGGCGAACGGGGCCCGGAATACACTCTCTTGCTGCGCAGGATACACTGGATGAGTGGAGAGCAGAACTTTATGAAGGAGACAGACAAAAGTTTGGTGCAGTACCTGAGGCAGGGCCTGCATCACAGTGTCTAGCAGAGCTCGCATTCCCACGGCCATCTTGAGCAGCTTCAGCACTGAAAGAAGAGGAGAGATCGCTTACTGAATATATACATGAAAAGACAATTTCAAACATACAAATATAAAAGGAATACAATTTCAAATTACAACTTTTTGTTTACCAGTGCACCTATTGTACAAGCGTACTTGTGAAAATTAAACAATTATTTGAAAGGGTATGAGGCAAAGTTTAAGTCTGTCAGTACAGTGTGAATTGGCTAGGGATTCACAGATATTAAAATTCTGATTGATACTGATAAGCTAATAATTGTTTTCATGTAATGGCCAAAAGATGGTCAATATTAAAATCATACCACTTTTTTTTATAATCATGGTAGATTGACTATGTAAATGAGGCCTGTGGAGAGCAGAGGGGCCCCAGAAGAATGGCGAACGGGGCCCGGAATACACTCTCTTGCTGCGCAGGATACACTGGATGAGTGGAGAGCAGAACTTTATGAAGGAGACAGACAAAAGTTTGGTGCAGTACCTGAGGCAGGGCCTGCATCACAGTGTCTAGCAGAGCTCGCATTCCCACGGCCATCTTGAGCAGCTTCAGCACTGAAAGAAGAGGAGAGATCGCTTACTGAATATATACATGAAAAGACAATTTCAAACATACAAATATAAAAGGAATACAATTTCAAATTACAACTTTTTGTTTACCAGTGCACCTATTGTACAAGCGTACTTGTGAAAATTAAACAATTATTTGAAAGGGTATGAGGCAAAGTTTAAGTCTGTCAGTACAGTGTGAATTGGCTAGGGATTCACAGATATTAAAATTCTGATTGATACTGATAAGCTAATAATTGTTTTCATGTAATGGCCAAAAGATGGTCAATATTAAAATCATACCACTTTTTTTTATAAATTAAAAATAAAATACAAAAAAAAAACTGCTATTTAAATGCTACAAGTGAATTAGTAAGCATCACAACATTATGTACATTATGAAAATGAATATTAATTTTAAAGATCTGCTAAAACGGTTTTATTTAACTATTGATGTTTTAAATGATTAACATTAAGTGAGATGACAGAAAAATATGTGAAATATTACAATTTAAAACTAAATATTTTAATATTTTAAAAAATATTTTAATATATTTTAAAATGTAACTTATTCCTGTGATGCCAAAGCAGAATTTTCAGCAGTCATTACTCCAGTCTTCAGTGTCACATGATCCTTCAGAAATCATTTAAATATGCTGATTTGGTGCTTAAGAATATTTCTTACTATCTGTGATAAAAACAGTTGTGCAATTATTTGAAATAGAAATCATTATACATATCATTACTTTTACTTTTTATCAATTTAATTTGCTTAAAGTACTAACTCAATTTAATTTGCTTAAAGTACTAACTTCTTCCCAAAAAAAAAAAAAATGCTGACCCCAGTTAATTTAAAGTATTACAAATAGGAGTAAAACTAAAATACACTTCTAATATTGACAAAGTGGCCTTTGAGAAAAAAATAAAATAGTAAAACCTCAAACTGTGACTCAACCTTTTAATAGAAAAAGCAGCAAAAAATACGCACACAGTGGATGCACTTTTTCTTTAAATGTGGCCAGTGGAAACTAATTCTCATGTAATTTTCACAGTGGTCAGATCACAGAGCATGTTATTATTGGGGTCGCGCACTACACACACGGAGCTTTAATGATGTTGATGACAAGGCCGTTCAGCCATGGAAGAGACGCTGCTGTGGAGGTTTGGTTAATTGCAATCATGGCCATAAGTGGATGATGCCTGTGACTTTCATTATGGGAATGTCTGAATGAGTCCAGGAAGAAATAGGCTGCGTACAGACAGACAGACAGACAGACAGA